CCAGACACGCCCGTCTGCTCCAACACAGACCCAGGGTCTGAATTACGTGCCCCAAAGCTGCAGGTTTACCTGAAAACAGCTAACAGAAGTGTTCCTGTCTTTAGCACTCAGGTGCCCAACTCCCAATAGGGTCTAAACTCAAATAAATCCATTTTACCTTGTATAAAGCTTATGCAGGGTAAACTCATAAATTGTTCGCCCTCTAGAACACTGATAGAGAGATATGCACAGTTGTTTGCTCCCCCAGGTATTAATACATACTCGGAGTTAATTAATAAGTAAAAAGTGATTTTATTAAATACAGAAAGTAGGATTTAAGTGGTTCCAAGTAGTAACAGACAGAACAAAGTAAGTCACCAAGCAAAATAAAATAAAATGTGCAAATCTATGTCTAACCAAACTGAATACAGATAATTTCACCCTGAGAGATGCTTCAGTAAGTTTTTTTCTCAGACTGGACACCTTCCAGGCCTGGGCACAATTGTTTCCCCTGGTACAGCTCTTGTTCCAGCTCAAGTGGTAGCTAGGGGATTCTTCATGATGGCTCCTCTCTCTTTTGTTCTGTTCCACCCCTTTATATATCTTTTGCATAAGGTGGGAATCCTTTGTGTCTCTCTGGGTTTCCACTCCCCCCTCACTGGAAAAGCACCAGGTTAAAGATGGATTCCAGGTCTTGTGACATGATCACATGTCACTGTAAGACCCCCAAGCCTTCATTCCTCCCAGCCTGACTCACAGGAAGGCTTGCTTGAAAACAGAGCCCCAGTCAATTGTCCTGATTGATGGAAGCCTTTAAGATTCCAGACCACCATTAATTGCCCACACTTTGCATAATTACAATAGGCCCTCCATTATATTTCCTATTTCTAGTCCCAGATACAAGAGTGGTACATTTATACAAATAGGATGGTCACACTCAGTAGATTATAAGCTTTGTAATGATACTTTACAAGAGACCTTTTACATGAAGCATATTCCAGTTACATTATATTCACTCATTACCATATTTTTATAAAACCATATAGACTGCACAACATCACACCCTCTTTCTGCACTTACTGCCAGAGACTTGGACACTGACCATGGTGGAGGCAGTACACCTACAATTTGTTTTTGGGCTCCCCTGTGGGGCAGACACTCCTGTGTCCCCCAAAAGGGAAAGACCCTGATCCAGCTGTAGGCTCACAGCTACCAGATATGACAGACCTTTTGCTGGCCAGCAAAACTCCCCCCCCCCCTTTCACTCAGGTTAGGTTTGCTTCCAGCTAGAGTCCTTGGGGTTTGTTCCCACCGCAGCAGTCACCAGGACCCCAACTTCCAGCTCCAGGATACATGTCTCTGGGCACCTCTTCCACTCCATTACAGCCAGTTCATGTTTCTGAGTCTTAATCGCTTTGTCTTTTAAGTCCAGGGTTTGCTGGTGGGCAGCCTTTTCCTAGGCAAATTGCACATCAATTTCCATTTGTCTTCCCTTGAGACCATCACTCGATGAGCTGGGATACCACAGAGAACCCCTCCTGCCAGAACAGGTACCCCTTCACTCCTGCCTTGCTAAGTTAGACACTCCAGTCAGCTTCAGCACAGACACAGAGGTTGGGCCACACCCATCTGCAGTTCACTGAAACTGGGATGCACTCAGCTCAGGGGCTTCTTAGTTAACACAGACTTTCACAGTGCCCAGTGTTCAGCCTTTCTGGGCAATTTGCACCCTGTGCAGTTTTAGTTTCTTCTAATCTTCCTTCTTACTTATTTTGCTTCCTTTTCTGTCCCTACTTCCCTTACCCGAAATAAGCAAACAGAAAATAACAGCCCAGTAACCACTTTGTCTGTTCTCCAGCCACCACACTTAACACTCACTTAAAATCACGATCAGTATCTCAAAGCAATCAGCTGTGCACAGATCCTGCTCAACTATGCCACTGGGATGGGTTGGATCACAGAAACCCCCTTGGGAGCTGCCACTCGATGTGCCAAGACTACTTCTATCCCTCTGCTTTCCCTGCCAGCTCAGGACTCCAGCACCCTGTCTTGCTGAGCCAGACACTCCCGTCTGCTCCAACACAGACCCAGGGTCTGAATTACATGCCCCAAACCCAGGGCCGGCGCAACCCATTAGGCGACCTAGGCGGTTGCCTAGGGCACTAACCTTTGGGGGGCGGTGACTGCGGCGGCTGGATCTTCTGCCACCCCAGTCGTCAGCAGTATTTCGGGGGTGGGACCTTCCACCGCCTCTGTCGGGGGCGGCATTTCTGGGGCGGGACCTTCCGCCGTCTAGGGCGGCAAAAAGCTGGCAGCGCTCCTGCCCAAACCTCCAGGTTTACCTGAAAGCAGCTAACAGAAGTGTTCCTGTCTTGAACACTCAGATGCCCAACTCCCAATGGGGTCTAAACCCAAATAAATCCGTTTTACCCTGTATAAAGCTTATGCAGGGTAAACTCATAAATTGTTCGCCCTCTAGAACACTGATAGAGAGATATGCACAGTTGTTTGCCCACCCAGGTATTAACAGATACTCTGAGTTAATTCATAAGTAAAAAGTGATTTTATTAAATACAGAAAGTAGGATTTAAGTGGTTCCAAGTAGTAACAGACAGAACAAAGTAAGTCACCAAGCAAAATAAAATAAAACGTGCAAATCTATGTCTAATCGAACTGAATACAGATAATCTCACCCTCAGAGATGCTTCAGTAAGTTTTTTCCTCAGACTGGACACCTTCCAGGCCTGGGCACAATTCTTTCCCCTGGTATCCTAGGAGAAGGTGGGATGTGATGGGATGAAGACCCAAGATCCCAATACAAGCTGCCCTGTGTCCCCAAAGAAGAGCCCTGGCCCCCACCAGGAAATGGGTAATATGATGACTACAGGATATGACAGAATAGTTATGGGGGATTCTGAAGGGGCAGCTGTGAAGGGAGTGCCCAGGGCTGGGTGTGGGAGGGGAAATAGGAGGCACTGCTGTCTCAGGCTGGGAGTAATGGGGTATGGAACTGTTCATCTTTAGGACACATGATAACTAAGGAGGACTTAAACAATATCTTATAGTGATAAACATTTTAAATAACCAGCTTTCAGCCAAGAGTTCTAAAAGAGTTGTCTGAGGCATTCTCCGAACCGCTGATGTTAATTATTGATAAATCTTGAAATGGTGGGGAAATTACAGCAGAGAGGAAGAGAGCTAATGTACCAATATTTTAAAATTGCAAATGGGATGACCTGGAAAATTATATGCTGGTTAACCTGATATCAGTCCCAAGCAAAATAGTATAAAAGTTGGTAGGGGATTCAATAAACAATGAAGCAAGGATGGAAGTAGAATCAATGACAGTCACCATGGTTTCATGGAAAATAGGTCTTCCTGAACAAACCTGATTTGCAGAGCTCTGGGACCACAATGAGGAGGACCCTGAGAGAAGGCTCAGGGCCTGAAAGCCCCTCCCCTGAGGAGTCATAATGAATTCCTCAGAACTGCTCAGACATGAGAGAGATGGGAAGATCTGGAGATCAGAAAAACATCCCAGAACTCCTGCGCTGAGATTCTGGCCTACCATGGTTTAGCTTGCTTTGTTGTGTCTTGCCAGGTGTCTGGCAAGCCTCCCACTCCCTTTGGGGATGAGCAAATTATAAATAAATAGAATAGATACATAGATAGCCATCAAAGTTAGTTTTCTGGTCATTATGTAAATTACCTGTTACCCATGATTATATCAATGAGAATTGGGAATGGAGCTGTTTGTTCATCTTCTCCTCATTGGGGATTTTAGGGCTGGAAATCCCACCTCACTCTTTCAGAAGTCTCTTATCCCCCTCCTCTCTAATCCCAGGAAGTTGGTCCTCATGGGAGAATGTCCTCATTTGCTATGGGAGCCCTGTTAAAGCAACAGAGAGTTCTGTGGCACCTTTAAGACTAACAAATGTATTGGAGCATAAGCTTTCGTGGGTGAATGCCCACTTTGTCGGATGCATGTAATGGAAATTTCCAGGGGCAGGTATAAATATGCAGGCAAGAATCAGTCTGGAGATAACGAGGTTAGTTCAATCAGGGAGGGTGAGGTCCTCTGCTAGCAGTTGAGGTGTGAACACCAAGGGAGGAGAAACTGCTTCTGTAGTTGGATAGCCATTCACAGTCTTTGTTTAATCCTGAGCTGATGGTGTCAAATTTGCAAATGAACTGAAGCTCAGCAGTTTCTCTTTGGAGTCTGGTCCTGAAGTTTTATTGCTGTAAGATGGCTACCTTTACATCTGTTATTGTGTGGCCAGGGAGGTTGAAGTATTCTCCTACAGGTTTTTGTATATTGCCATTCCTGATATCTGACTTGTGTCCATTTATCCTTTTACGTAGTGACTGTCCAGTTTGGCCAATGTACATAGCATTGCTGGCACATGATGGCATATGTAACATTGGTGGACGTGCAGGTGAATGAACCGGTGATGTTGTAGCTGATCTGGTTAGGTCCTGTGATGGTGTTGCTGGTGTGGATATGTGGGCAGAGTTGGCATCGAGGTTTGTTGCATGGATTGGTTCCTGAGTTAGAGTTGTTATGGTGCAGTGTGTGGTTGCTGGTGAGAATATGCTTAAGGTTGGCAGGTTGTCTGTGGGCGAGGACTGGCCTGCCTCCCAAGGTCTGTGAAAGCGATAGGTGCCCCTTCCTGGCAAGGCCTGGTGTCACAGCTTTCCTGCTCCTTCCTGGGTCGCGATCATCCCAAACGAAAAGTCCAAAAATGTCTTTAACCGAAACAAGGTCCTCCGTCCCTTTGGGATTTTCCTCAGCCTGACTTTGGCTTGGCCTGCCCTTGCTGACCTTGGTAGCCCTTTCTATGGCCTTGTACGTCCCCTTCCTTAGAGACCATGGGAGAACCAGTCCTACCCTGGATTCTAGGTTCTGCCCCAAGGCCCTGTACCAAACAGGTAGGCCTGCTCCTGTACCTTTGCTGCGGTTTTCCCTGGCTTTCCCCTCAGGTGGAGCTCACTCTGTAATCCATTTGACCTAGCTCCAGGCTTTATTGCCCACAGGCCAAGCCCCCCTGTCATATATGCTCCTCCTTAGAAACTGGCCCACATGAGGGGCAAGTACTATTCTTGTCCAAGCTTCATCCCTCGCCATCTCGTCGCTGTCACCGGCTGCATGCTTGTACAGCCTGCACCCACAGGCCTCTCACCCCTTTTGCCTCTCAGTTAGGGCTCATTCTATAATCAGCTTGGCTAGGCCCCAGGCTGTGCAGCCCAAGGGAAAGCACCCTGTTACATGCCTGCTCTGCCCACTCCTGCTGTTATTGGCCTGGGGTCCTTGCTCCCCATTTCAGACCCAGTTTCCAGGGGGCTGAGTATACACAGGCCCCATTGCCTGGAACTGGAGTTTGCTTGTTCTGGTAACTCTGACATTCAGGCCCTTCATCATTCAGGGGCTGACAGGTGTGGTGAGGGGGCTGGAGAAACCTCACTGCTGAGCGGAAGGAAGTTAAAGAGTTGGGATTCTGGGAGCTGATGGGTTTGTTTGCCCTGCTGCGGGAAGTGGAGCTGGAGACCAGAGATGCCATGTGATCGAGACTACCTGATGCTCTCTTCATGCCCGAGGGGCTGGAGCCTCCTACCAGAAACGCTCTCATGAGTCCAGATTCGAGGACGTCTTTGGGGAGCCCCTTCCTAGGAACAAAACCAGGGTGGTACTGTTGGTGTCACTAGGCATCACCCTAGGTAACTCGGGGGGTTGGAAGACCCGAGAGTCGATGAAGCCCCCCCGCTCTAGGCCTAAGTGAATCAAAGCCCCTGCATGTTGAACTTTACCAACCTCACAGGCCAGTACCTGGGAAGCAATAGTGATAAGGGAAACCTACATGCTTCTAGCTAAAGGACAAGATTACTTGCAGAAAGAAACAGTGAGAACAAGCTGCACAGCCAAGGTCGTGTAATGTAACCAGAGGGAGAAAGGGGGAGAGGTGGGAATGGAGGAGGGGGGTGAGAAAGGACGGGGGAAGAAGGGAAAGGCTTAGTTACAAACTGTATAAAAGACAAAGGCTGCTTATGTTGGTGTGCTTGATTTGAGACATGCCTGTCTCCTTGCACCACTTTGAGATCTCAAATAAACTTTGATTGCTTCTCCACCCTGGTGTGTTTATTGGCGTGACGCACACCGGGCAACAGACCCCACTGTTGCTGTCCTCGGGCACTCTGTGCTGGCAACAGTACGATGATGGAGACATCTCTGTCCCAGAGCTGGGAGCCAGGGACAGGGGAAGCTCCCAGCCAGGCTATGCATCAGGGATGCCATTTCTTCCCCAAGAGACCCACAGGCCCCAAGGAGTAAATGGCTCTTACCTCCATGAGGGATTGGGGTCTTCCATCTAAGCCTCTTTGAGAGCCAGCGTTGCTTGCTTGGATGGGACGAGGTGACCTGTCCCCACTGCTCCCTGACGTGGCTCCGTTACAAGATGCGCCCATCTGGGAAGCTGTGCCAGATCCCAGGGCCTGGAACACAGCTGGGAAGGAGGCTCCTATTCCTGTCACACCCAGAGACCCCATAGAAGGGCCAAGGGGAGAATAAAGGGCAGGAGGTGAAGCTAGCCCTGAGCCTCTGTCCCACCCCCACCTCCTCAAAAGTGGAGCTTTCCGAGCTTCAGTGGGGCTGGAGCTGTGGCCCTGACACAAGGGCCTTTCTGCACCATATGGGGCAGGGAGAGCTCTGCCTGGGCACAGGGAAATGGGATGGGGTAGATCAAGGAAAGGGGGGAGGGGGGTGGGTGTGAGGGGAAGAGCTCCTGCCCCAGATGAAGGAATTTGGGGGGCAGAGGGAAGGACCCTGCTCCACAGAGAGGGGAGAGAGAGTTTCTGTGAGTTCCAGAGGGCTCCATTTCCCCTTCCACTAGCTCCCTGTAGGGGTCCCTTGCTCTCCCGCTCAGAGGGAGGCCACTCCGGCTGGCCCAGTCTGGTCCGGACTAGAGTCTGCAAGGTAGCCGGGGGCCCACAATAGGGCTGGGCGATCAGCTGTTGCTACCAGGCTGCGACCTGGGCTAGGGTCGCTCAACTGGTCAGCCCCTCAATACAGTCTATCAGGAGTGGCTCCGGCCTGGGTGGGGCCCAAGCAGCCCACAAACAAACAGTCTTGACAGGGCTGGCTCTAGCCTGAGTAGGGCTCAGGCAGCCAGCAAACAAACAGTCCTCCAGGTGAGTGATAAGGGAGCTCCTGTCCTGGGCTAGAGCCTCCTTGCGCCGTGTAGGGGGTCAGCCACCCGGGATGGGGTGGCAGGGGGACACGGGCCCACCCTACTCCACTGCGTCCCAGCCCAGGGCCCTGGCAGGGGCAGGATTGGCTGCCCCTGCATTGGCAGGGATCCAGCTCCAACACACCGACTGAGCCACACCGGGCTCTGCAGCCAGCTGCTCCGGGACTGCCCCTGGGCTACTTCCTGCCTACCCGGGGTTTGGTACCTGCGGCCTCCAGGCCTCTTCTGGCTCCTCGGGGTAAACCGCAGCGGATACTCTGGGCCAGTCCTCGTCCACGCCTGGGGATTGGGAACAGCCGGGAGCAGGTTCCTCTCGGGGCCTTCGGAGAACAGGCCGAGCGTCCTCCTCTATTGCAGGTTCTCCCCCAACTGTGCTGCAGGGCTGGCCTTTTATACTTCCGGCCACACCCCGGTCCTTACGGAGAGGGGGGCGGGGCAATATAGGCTCCGCCCTCCAATGGGGCATGTAGGGGGTCCCTCGCTCTCCCGCTCGGATGGAGGCCACTCAGTCTCAACACACTCTCCTAGAAGCCCTGGTTGCCAGGCAAAAAACAGTCCTACAGGCGAGGGGGGCGGGGCAATATAGGCTCCGCCCTCCAAGGGGCGTGTGGGGGGCCCTTGCTCTCCTGCTCAGAGGGAGGCCACTCAGCCTCACTACACTCCTCGTTTACAGGGAGCGGGAGTTGCTGGTGGCCTCAGAGGCAGAGCCCCTGCAGCGCCTCAGGCACCTGGCGCAAGTGCTGGATAATGTGAAGTTGTTGCATGATGTTGGCCGTGACGTCCTCCTGCTGCAAAGGAACGAGGACCTGTCAGAGACTCAGACGCCCCCCCGGAATCAGGGGGCATTAAGGGCACCTGGAACCAACAGCATTTCCACCCAGCACCTGCCCACCTCTGGGGGATGGATTCCCCCTCCTGACCCCCAGAATGGAGTCTTGTTGTCCTTTCTAGTGACCTCCAGTGCCAACCCCCTCTCCTTGTAGGGTGAGCTCCTGCCACCTCCCCCTCAGTGCCCCCGACAGCTGTTCCACCACCAACCCACAGCTCAAGTTCTCAGATCCCTCTCTTCCACTCCTACCCAGGTTGGGCAGGGAGGAGGCTCTAGGCGGGGGGGGGGGGCGGGAGGCAGGAGGGATTCTGGCAGCAGTGAAGTGGGATGTGGGGAGGTTGAGACCTTTCCCCAAGTCATCCCAGCCACTAATGCTGAAGCCGCAGGATGGCAGCCCTGGTGAATGGGGCAGATCAGCAGCACCTGCTGACTGAATCCTCCCGTTCTCTCTAGAGCGGGTCCAGCCTGCCGGCAGCAGGACAAGTTCCCCCGCCCATGTGCCTCAGAACTGCCTGGTCAGTTGCCATCACCCGTCAGTCCTTGGCCTCCCGGGCTGCCAATGATGGGAACAACTCTGGGTGGTGGCTCGGGTGACAGGAGAGGCTCGCAGAGGGCACTTAGAGGACTTTGCTGCCCTTCCCAAGAACAGAAGTCCGTGATGAGGCAATGCTTGTCATTAATTAGCCTTGCTATAGAGCTGGGCTGGAGCTGCTCTGGGGAGAAGCTGGCTCCCGCCTGCTCATGGAGGTGAATTCACTTCCCTTCCCAGGAGCACCTGCTCTTACTCTCATTCCCCACCAGTCGCCTTGCTGCCAAGCCAGTGAATGGCCATATGATGGGAAGGAGGCCTGGGCCCTGCCCCAATCTCCTGAGTCTAATGCAGCTGCTCATCTTGTCCCCCATCAGCTGCTGAGCTTGCCCCAGGAGGGAGTAGGTGAGGAGCAGCCCAGCCTGGCTGACATGTAGAATGAGGCTGTGTATGGCGAGCACTGCTATCCGGAGGAAGAATCTTCTCTGCCCCTCCAAGAAGAATTTGCCAAAGACCTGAAACCAACCGGATGTGAGGCTTCAGCAGATTGCCCAGGACCAGGCTCCAAATCCTGGCCTAGAACGGCATCTCCGTCGAGTGGCTCCAGGAGGCAGCCACCCACACTGCCAGAGCTGTGCCATGCCCTGGCAGAGTGTCTTTACCTCCCCGACCCTGGCTGTGTTTTTGTACCCCAGGAGCCTGCTGTCCTGGTTCCAGTCGCACACCCACAGGTCTTCGGCTTCGTGGATGGTCAGCTCTGGGAAAGAGAGACACACACACACATTTGTCATTCTGGTTGCAGGGCTTGTGTCCTTCCAATCCCATTGGTGGCTGCACAGTGGGCAGAGTCCTCGCTGTGTGCCCGGCCCAACAGAATTGCGGGGGTGGTGGAGAACACATAAAGAGATAGAGAGAGACTCATCCTCCAGCTGGGCTCAGTCTGAGAGAAATTGGCTGGGGTCCCAGTCTCAATCGTCTAGCGGGTGCCATTTCCCAGCTGGGTTCCTTACCCCTCTGGTGCAGCAGCAGCTGGTAGAGCCAGTAAACCCCCTCCCTGTCCTGCCGGCTGATGTCCTTGGCTGGGTCACCGACGAACAGAGCCAGCTGTGCCACGTGGTGACCCATCCTGGGGAATTCGGCTGAGTTCTAATGGAAGGGAGAGGGAAAGGGGACTCCATCAGCATTTTCCTGTCAGCTCCCAGTCCCCGCCTGGGCCAGGACTCTCCTTCCCCTCAGCCCCTCTGCAGGAGATGCTAGAGGATAGGAGCTAGAGCTGGAGCCTTAATTATCTCTGCCCGCAAGGGAGCCTGGAAGACAGGGATGCGGGCAGGGCCCTCCATGAGGATTTGCTTCCCCAGCTGCTGCAGGATGACAGGAAGGCAGAAATCTGGAGCATGGTCCCCTTAAAAGCGAGAGTTGCCACTTAACCAGGATAAGAAGAACTTGACTCAAGCCAGGCTTATTCTCTGCTTTGACTCTGCCTCCCCAAGAGGAACACTCCTAACCCACAGCCCCTGCACAGCAGATCCTACAGCTGTTGGAGCTAGCCCGCCTACGCCTGGAGTCAGGAAGCTGGGCTCAGAGGCCACTTCCGTCGAACTCAGGGAGGGTGATGGTGGATGTGAGCAGGGTCGTGCTGCTCCTCATGACTCTGGCTCTCTCTCGCGACACCCTGGACACAATCCAGTAGTTATTGTGCTGTGGGGAAAGGAGGCAGCTCAGGATTGATGGGTGGGTGCATGTGTTGTGCTAATGAGTCCCTCCCCATCCCCAAGGGATCTAAGAGTTAAGGTAAAATTGCCCCCACCCTTCTCATTGGGCTCACCTCCAAGATGTAGTGGAGCTTGTCAGTGTCTGGGGTCTTTGCCAGCAGGTTCCCCAGCATGGCGTCCAGAAGGTCTGGTATGACCCTCTGCAGATCCTGCAAAGCAAGGGAGAGTCATGGGTCAGAGTTAGGAAAACTGGGGCTACACCTGCCACAGGATGAGAAGAGGAGTCTCTGGGAAGCACTGGTGAGACCCCCAAACACGTATCCTGGCCTCTCTCATTCACATCCCACTGTAGGCAATTAGCAAGGATTCGGGCAGGATGACAGCTGGCTCTTCAATCCATGATTTAGCTGATCTACCTGGACTTGGGTGGTGTCCGTCTGTGTGCCCAGGGTGAAGATTGCGTGCAGGGCAGCTCGGAGGAGGTGGGTCTCCAGTTCTGGTTCCAGGGCAGGTGTCATGGTGCTGGCAAGAGAGAGGAGCCGGTATTAGACTGTGCAGTGTGGGGCTGGGACTGGCACTGACACGGACGTGAAACTGCAGGAAAATAGGCAGAGGCTGGCGAGAATGGAAACTGAGGCACCGAGCCAGGGAATGATAAGGCCAAGGTTTCCCAGACAGACAGTGGCAGGGCAGGAATGGTGCCTGTTCCCTCGACCCTGCTGCCCCTCCTGTATCTGATCCTGGGAGTCAGCCTCTCCCCAAAGCCATTGCAATGTGACTGGAGTGAAAAGAACAGAGCAGCCAGGAGTGGGAGTGAACCTTCCTGCCACCTCTGCCAGAGGAGCCCCCCTGGGAGTGGGAGGGGCAGTGACTCCCAGCCATGGGCCTGAGCAGCACTGGGGTTAGGGGAACCGGGCAAGAGGGTCTCGGTACCTGAGGTTGGCCACAGCAATGAGGGAGTTGGCCAGGACGGCGCCGGGTGGAGAGTCATGAGGAAGCTCCTCAATGAGCTCCTGTGAGACTCAAAGGAGACAAAGGAGCGTGTGAAATTTGGGCCTGACACTTCCCAATGAGGAGATTACACAGCCAGCACCCGACACAGCCAGCAGGATCCCCCCACCTGCCTCCCGCTCCTCTGATTCCTGCCCACTATTTCTCCCGTCTTCTCCCCAATCTTCAGCGCCAGCAATCTCTGCCCTCAGCTGCCCTCCAGCACCAGCCATCCCCCAACCAGTCCAGGGAGACCCCTGCCCCTCCTATGTCTCTGTCCACCCTCCAGCTGCCGGGCGCCATGTCTCGCTCATCACAATCCTCTTCGCCACAGCTGCCTTGGAGCAGTGCGGCTCCAGTGTGTCCTGCCCCCTCTGCTGTGCAGCGAGACACGCAGGGTGGATGGCGTGCAGGAACACTAGCTGCTGGGCCTCGTCCTGCGCCCACCAGGAGTGCAGTTAGGGGAGAGAGAGCCAGTTAGCCAGGGACCTCCCTGCCCCAGCCACACCAGCTGCAGGACTTAGGCCTGAATGGGGGATAGTGGGGACCCACCCATTGTCCAAATCACCCACAACTCCTACACAAGCAGGGTCAGGAACTGGGACAGTGCCTGTGTGGAGAGGAGACCCCGGCTGGTGTGTGACAAACACCCCCATCTTGGGGGTCCCAGATCATGGAGGAGAAAGGTTCCCATTAGGGGTGGTGGCTCATGAGGGCCAAGACCCTCTGCCGGGGGTCAGGGTGCTGGGAAGGGGCAGGACAATCTCGGTTCCAGCACAACTGGGAAACATTTGTACCTTTTCTCGGCCATGGAGCTGCTCTCAGATGTTTTTGAGAGCAGCCTCCTCTGTTACCACGTCTACCCATTCCTCCTCGTCCTCTGAGTCCCTGGCAGTCCCTGCACCAGGGAGAGAAGGGGACAGGGTGACTCCTGCTGCCACTCAGGGGAAGGACAGGGGCATGGTCAGGGCCGGCTTTAGCAAGAGCGGAGCCCGATTCCTGGGGGCGGGGCTTGCTGCGGGGACCGGGCCGGAGCCGACCCGAGCCGCGGGGACCGGGCCAGGCCGGAGCCAACCCGGGCCGCGCCGCAGGGGCCGGGCCGGGCCAGACCCGGGTCGCGCCGTGGGGGCCGAGCCGGAGCCGGGCCGGGCCAC